TGGAGAGCCTCTCGCATATTCCAACATCATCGATTAAAGCAAATCTCTTCCAGCATCGATTGTTGCCCTTCTTCAACAACTGGCAATGTATAACCTCTGATAGATGGCTCCTGCAGATAATTGGAAAACATTACCTTATTCCCTTTGTGTCCATGCCTAGTTTGCACCCTCTCCCCTTCTCTGTCCCTTTTTAGGGGCAACTATCACAAGATCCTTCTTCAGCAATAAGTAGAGCACCTCTTACACATAGGGGCGATTGAACCAGTCCCCACACAGTTTAGGGGCAAGTAGAATCATAGAATTATAGGACTGGAAGGGACCTCGAGAGGTCATCGAGTCCAGCCCCCCGCCCTCAAGGCAGGACCAAGCTCCGTCTACACCATCCCTGACAGATGTCTATCTAACCTGTTCTTAAATATCTCCAGAGAGGGAGATTCCACCACCTCCCTTGGCAATTTATTCCAATATTTGACCACCCTGACAGTTAGGAATGTTTTCCTAATGTCCAATCTAAACCTCCCCTGCTGCACTTTAAGCCCATTACTCCATGTCCTGTCCTCAGAAACCAAGAGGAACAAATTTTCGCCTTCCTCCTTGTGACACCCTTTTAGATATTTGAAAACCACTATCATGTCCCCCCTTAATCTTCTTTTTTCCAAACTAAACAAGCCCAGTTCATGAAGCCTGGCTTCATAGGCTTCTCTAGACCTTTAATCATTCTTGTCGCTCTTCTCTGTACCCTTTCCAATTTCTCCACATCTTTCTTGAAATGTGGCGCCCAGAACTGGACACAGTACTCCAGCTGAGGCCTAACTAGCGCAGAGTAGAGCGGCAGAATGACTTCACGAGTTTTGCTTACAACACACCTGTTAATACAACCTAGAATCATATTTGCTTTTTTTGCAACAGCATCACACTGTTGACTCATATTCAACTTGTGGTCCACTATGACCCCTAGATCCCTTTCCGCCATGCTCCTTCCTAGACAGTCGCTTCCCATCTTGTATGTATGGAACTGATTGTTCCTTCCTAAGTGGAGCACTCTGCATTTCTCCTTATTAAACCTCATCCTGTTTACCTCCGACCATTTCTCTAACTTGCTAAGGTCATTTTGAATTATGTCCCTATCCTCCAAAGAAGTTGCAACCCCACCCAGTTTGGTATCATCTGCAAACTTAATAAGAGTACTCTCTATCCCAATATCTACATCATTGATGAAGATATTGAACAGTACGGGTCCCAAAACAGACCCTTGAGGAACTCCACTTGTTATCCCTTTCCAGCAGGATTTAGAACCGTTAACAACAACTCTCTGACTACGGTTATCCAGCCAATTATGCACCCACCTTATCGTGGCCCTATCTAAGTTATATTTGCCTAGTTTATCAATAAGAATATCATGCGAGACCGTATCAAATGCCTTACTAAAGTCTAGGTATATGACATCCACCGCTTCTCCCTTATCCACAAGGCTCGTTATCTTATCAAAGAAAGCTATCAGATTAGTTTGGCATGACTTGTTCTTCACAAACCCATGCTGGCTATTCCCTATCACTTTATTACCTTCCAAGTGTTTGCATATGATTTCCTTAATTACCTGCTCCATTATCTTCCCTGGGACAGACGTTAAACTGACCGGTCTATAATTTCCTGGGTTGTTCTTATTCCCCTTTTTATAGATGGGCACAATATTTGCCCTTTTCCAGTCTTCTGGAATCTCCCCTGTCTGCCATGATTTTTCAAAGATCATAGCTAAAGGCTCAGATACCTCCTCTATCAGCTCCTTGAGTATCCTGGGATCATAAAGCGTGCTACCATATTACTGGCATTGAAACAGGATGATTGGTTCTCCTCCCTCGACTTGCAAGATGCATACATTCATGTTGCCATACACCCAACTTGCAGGCAATTTGTTTTCTTCATTTAATTCTAGATTCCCAATACTACCAATCCAAAGTGCTTCCATTCAGACTCTCTATGGCCCTGAGGATCTTCTTGAAGGCACTGGTGGTTGTCACAGTGTATCTGAAGAAACAAAGAGTTATCATATTTCCTTACCTAGATGACTGCCTCCTCAAATCACGCTCACCTAATGATTCCTGCCGTTCTCTGTCAGTCACCTATTCCGACACCTGGGCCTTCAGGTGAATGAAACCAAATTGATGCTCTCTCCTACACAAAAATACAGATTATAGGAGCATGCCTCCATTTGACAATGGCCACCACATCCCTGCTTACAGACCATTTCTAAAAAATTGTAACCCCTGAAAATACCTTACAATCTAGCTGCCACACAACAGCACTCGAACGCCTTCAGCTAGTGGGGCACATGGCAACGTGCAACTTCATAGTAAGCATGTGCATCAGCACATGAGATGTTTACAGAGCTGGCAGGGACAGGTGAACAAACTCAATGTCCATCTGCTATCCAAATCCCTACCCTTTCCAGAGATAGCAAAGGACTCCTTATGCTGGTGACTGAGTCCATGGAACCTTGGTTCCGGAGTCCCATTTCACCCACCAGAGCCATCTGTCTCCATGATGACAGATGCATTTCATAGAGGATGGGACACCCACTTACAATATAATACCTGCCAGGGCTCGCAGTCCAGCACCGACAAGGACTTGCAAATAAATGTCGTAGAACTGCGAGCAGTCAGGAATGCATGCATCAAATTCCTCCCATTTGTCATCAACAGATATGTCAGATTGTACATAGACAATGTCGCAGCAATGTTTTACATAAATAGTCACCGCAGAGCCCGATCTTGAACACTTTTCACAGAGGCCATAGCACTTTGGAATTGGTGCCTGAAACACAATACAATTATCATCACAGTGTATCTTTCACGCAGATGCACCCAGAAGACCCCTCCTGGTCCAACACGAGTGTCAAATGAACCTGCATGTATTGATGGACATCTTCCGCCTATGGGGTCACCCCACCATAGACCTGTTTTCCATGCAGTCTAACAGCCATTGCCCCCTATTCTACTCCAGGGCAAAATTAGGAAAGAAATCAATGGGAGATGCCTTTCTCATCTCATGGACATCTCACCTAGTCTACGCGTTTCCTTCTATACTCCTATTGAACAGAGTAGTTCACTGGACAAGGAAGGACGGGGCTCATCTCATACTTATAGCACTGGCATGACTATGACAACCATGTTTTTTTCCTGCCTAGTGGTGATATCCTGTGCCCCACTGATCCACTTACCTTGTGTGAGGGCTCTCCTTCTTCACCCAGGCTCCAGTGATGGCCATCTGAACCTCCTCTCACTACATCTGAGGTCATGGCTTCTCGATGGTTCTGTGACCTAGAGTTCACCTGCTCATAGCAAGTACGAACTGTCCTTCTACACAGTAGGGTGCAGAGCACCCATAAGACTTCCCTTCAGAAATGGAAAAGATTCTCAATGTGGTGTACTTCCTCACCAGCTGTTTCCTTACCAGCTTACAAGTTGAGAAGATGCTCCACTATTTTCTGCACTTTAAACAAGTGGTCCTCGCAATAAGCTCCATTAAAGTTCACCTTGAGGCTATTACTACATTCCACTCTAAGGTAGACGACTCATCCATATTTGCTCATCCACCCACCAAGAGTTTCATAAAGGTCCTGCGGGCACTTTATTCAGATACAGTCCACCAATGCAACCAGGAGACCTACATTTAGTATTGAATGCTCTAACTAGACCACCTGTCGAACTAATGGTGACCACCTCATTATTACTCTTATTATTAATAGCTGTTTTTCCTCATAGCTATTACTTCAGCCAGATGGCTAGGAGAGATCACAGCCCTAATGGGGGATCTCCCATACACGACCTTTTTTAAAGACAGGGTCATGTTACATAACCATCCCAAATTCCTCCTGAAAGTACACTTATACTTCCACATCAACCAGACAATACACCTTCCCACCTTCTTCCCCAAACACCAACTCTTTTGAGATGAAAATGCATACTCTTGACCTGTGCAGAGAACTCTCTTTTTATCTGCAGGAAACAAGACCATTTCGAGCATCTCCCAGACTATTTGTTCTATAGCAAACCGTAATAAGGGTAGGGCTGTCTCATCACAGAGACTCTCCCATTGGATCTCAGATTGCATCAAGCTTTGCTGTACACAGTCATACATGCTGCCTCCAGAGAGTACTCCATACGGGTACATTCAACCAAAGTCATGGCTACCTCGATAGAATTCTTCCATAAAGTACCTATAAGAGACATCCATGCAGTTGTCACGTGGTCCTCCGACCACACAGTTGCAAAGCACACTGCACTTACGCAGGGACTTTTTTCCATCCTAAAACTAGCTAAGGCGGTGCTTTGCACCACTTTTCTGCCAGATCTGAAGTCCCTACCTCTCTAAAGGGAAATTGCTTTGTAGGCACCTAATGTGGAGCACCCACGGGGACATCTCTCTGTCTCGAAGAGGAGGTTACTTACCTCAATAATAACTGACATTCTTCAAGATGAGTGTCCCCGTGGGCGCTCTACCGCCCTTCCCTTCCTCCCCTCTACTTCGGGATCCTGGCCTTCTCAAGCCATCATTTTGGGGTATAGAAGGAACTGAGGAGCGGGAGCGGGGGCTCGTGAATGTGCAATGCCTCCAGCCAAACAGTGCACAGCTGCTGGTGTGCGCGTGAGTGGCCCCAGGGACACTGCCACACAAATCTCCATTCTGAGGCTTGGCAGCAGTGCACCGACCAACCTAATGTGGAGCACCTACAGGGACACTCATCTCAAAGAACATCAGCTACTATTGACAAGGCTCGACAAACTATAGAATCTACTCGCCTATGGCGAGTAGATTTCCGCCGCACGCCCTGTTTACTGGCGGCATGTGTATGCACAATGCGGCTCTTGCACATGCGCAGTGTAGAGCTGGCAAGTGGCTTTCGCCGCCGTTTGTCAAGCCCTGACTATTGAGGTAAGTAACCTCCTCTTTTAAAATACCAACAATTAGAACATAATTTATTCTTTGATTTTTATTTTTAGACCTACACTTTATATTTTATGGATCTTTTGGCTAAAGAGCTGCAGAAAATTTCTTGCAACCACATGACTCTTCCCATCTTTCAACTGGCTGAGGTTATTGCTCATGATGTTGTGGAAAGTAAAAGTCTATCTGATCTCTACCATCTTAGGTTTGTATAAGTTACTTGTTTTCACTAAATGGGAGATGTTTATGAAAAGTCATATCAGCCCTCTCCATTTTTACAATGATTATCATTTACATCCCTTTTATGATTGACATTGTTTTATCTTGTTCACAATTTTAAAAATGATTTGTGCTTTTTATAAATTTTATGTGTATTAATAATATTCATTAAGGTTTGTTTTTTATAACAGAACCTATATTGTTAAGTACTATGGCCCAAACTAAGGCTATGTCTACACTGGCGGCTTCTTGTGCAAGAACTCTTGCACAAGAGAGCATCCACACTGCCATGTGCGAGATGTGCTTTTGCGCAACAGCATCCATGGCAGTGTGGATCCTCTCTTGCGCAAGAAAGCTCTTATGGCCATTTTAGCCATTGGGCTTTCTTGCACAAGAAACCCCTAGGGTGCGTCCACACTGCCCTCTTGCACAAGAGCTCTTGCGCAAGAGAGCTTACACCTGTTAGAAAAGAGCATAGCTCTTGCGCAAGAAGCCCTCTCCTACCATGGTTTACTGTAAATCTTATTGCACAAGAGCAGGTGGGCAGTGTGGACGCTCTGAGAAAAAACTGACATTCTTGCACAAGAACCCGCCAGTGTAGACCTAGCCTAAGTGTCTACAGCAGGGGAAAGGAACTTTTTTGGGTTGAGGACCAGTGACCCACAGAAAAATCAGTCAGGGACCACACACGAAAAAAACCCAAAGCCCTTCACTGATGTGGCCCCCAACTGCTCATGCAACTTGTGGTGCAGGGTTCCTCTCTCTAGACCCATGGGGAGGGTGCCAAGGCTCAGGACTCAAGCTAAATCAAAGGAAATTGGGGGCCGGATCCAGACCACAGCACATAGGTTCTCCATCCATGGTATACAGGGTTAGGCAAATCTCCAAATGAAAAGCATTTTAAAGTCTTTTAACTCCATGGAATTAGGAAACAACCTACTTTTTTTTTAAGAGATATACCAGTTAAATAGTTTAACATAGTTTGTG